CATCGCTGCGGACGCTGGTTATCTGATAGGTACACCTTGCCGATGTCACACCCCTCTACAGTCAGCAGTACGACTTCGCCCTCAGACCTTGAGTAGCGGCTTTTAGTCTCACTGTTCTCAAATCGACCTGCCCAGTATCGTATAACCTGCCAGGAGTATATTTTGCAGCCAATATAGCTCGGTTGGGTCATCACGATAGGCAAGCCTGACCGCCACGTCAAGGTAGCAGCTACGGTTGAGATCAGTTATAGTTACTAGAAGTAGTACAGTGGAATGCGTCAAGCCTACATAGCCTGTCGCAGCCTTTGGAGAAAATTGATTCATTCTTCTTAAGTTATTACTCACACGTCTTCTGACCTTGTCAGTTACTCGCTTATGATCTTGGTTGTTTTTTTCATTGAATCTGTGTGTGGTGATTGCTTCCCGACCGTAGCTGCTTCATTGATGTGGTGGTCGAGGTTGCCTATCGTGATGACCCAACCGAGCTACATTGGCTGAAACAAATGTTCCTGTAGGCTCTACCATGAGAGGCAGGTCGATTGAAGAACGATGAGGCTAAAAGCAGCAACATACGGTCTGAGGGCTACGTCATACTGCTGACTGTAGAGGGGTGTGACAGCAGTAGGATGTTTCCCTCGGACAACCAGCATCTGATGCGACGCTACTTTCCAACAATAGAAGTAAGAGGTCAGAAAACGTCGACCCTAAAAGCATCACACATCACTTTACCTCATCGATTTCGGTCTCTGGCGATAAGGTCACTTAAAGAGCGGAGCTCAAACTTTGCGAAATTCCCATGAAAATACCTTGTGTGGTCGGTCTCAAGCAGCTGTTCGTTAGGCTCTGCAATCACGCTCGCTATGACCAACGCTAATCCAACTTTCTTTTCAGGTTTCTCAAGAATCACCCTTCCACGGTGTGGGCAGCTGGTAATTAATATCCGCCTACATACCCATAGCAACACAAGCTCACTTTGCTAATCACGTTTCTGTCTTATTTTTCTCTGGCTATGAGTATTTAGTCATGCCTCATAGCATGGAGTTGACCCACTCGCATTCTCTACTTCACTTTATTATTTTCTGTCTGCTTACACGAATGTATGAAATAAATTCATTCAAAGTAAATCGTCTTGTGCTGTTAATTACCTCCATCGCGTAAATGGGTTTACCTAAGAATAAACTTACACGGGAATCAGATGAAAGACTTATTTCATAGTATAATGGAGTCAGATCCCGAGCTACTGAAACGCTATACATCCTGGGAGCTTTCAGAGCAGTTTTATTCATAAGGGAATGATATCGTCACACTTACTGAGTACTCAGTAGCTATCTCGATGTACCGTTGAATTCTTCGGTAATGAATTTCTGTGGTCTGGTTTTTCAAAGTTATGCTTTTTGCCCTCCGTCGTAAGTATGTAAACTCTAACGATAGGAAAAAACGCCTATTCACATCGACATGGCTTATATTCTTTACTGTTATCCATTGTACCTAATAATCCACTAGAATCTCAGAATATATGGAGCTATGTCTTTGATGATTTATATAATTTGTCTAATATGTATCACACGAAGACCTGAATAGAGAATTTCTATTCATTAAAACTTGAAAATATTTCAAATTTAAATAATACTATCTGTTGAAATCGTATGTTCATTTTCAATCTTCTGAACCTTCAAACTAGTCATAAAAACATAAAAAAATAAAGTTAAATTAATCATACAATCAACCACAAAGGAATAAATCCAATTTGAGTGGAAAACTGGAAATCGTTTACAGTTGTCTTTTTAATGGGAATAAGGTGATGACAAATCAGGGTGTCAATAATCTAACGAAACTACTAACAAGTAGTATAAATTCATAGACAACATTTTTTATACACTAGGTTAGATGTTGATATGGTTAGGTGACAGTCTCCGTATACTTAAGATGTGTTCATGATAAGGCTTAGAATGTCCAAGTAAAATCAGAAAACTCCTTGATCAGTTAAGATTAAGTGATCTTTGTTATATTTGAATAAGAATGAAATTCTAGATGGCATGTAGTTGATCTTCATCGAGTTAATTATGATCATAACAGATAACTAGACGACAAATATTTAGTGAAGTTGTTTTTGAATTTGTCATTAGTCATGTGTTCATTATTGACTGACCTAGAGGAGTGTTTCTGGATTTGTAATAAGTAGTCATGACCAGTTTTTATCAATCCTATCGGGATTAAAACATATCACTGAACCCCATGGGTAATGGTTACGCGATTTCATGTATTGATTAAATTAGAAACCTAAACAGTTAGATTTCTACATGGTAGCCTAAAGGCAATGGATTCAGCATGAGATACTAAAGTTCTGGGTTAAATTTCCGAAGAAATGGTGAATGTGAATTGATGATCTGTTCCACACTGAGTTGGAAAATATGCCCGATGTTCTTTGATTTCCAATGGTTGTTCAGCTATCATTTTAATAGTCGGTTCGTAAAATCAGTCGAAGTTATTGTTAAATAACAATTAGTAGAAATTTAGTTCTTTTTATACTCGTCCCCCATTGATGATCAAAGATTTATACAAGGGGTAAACTGATATAATTTGTAGAACTACACTTAAATACTTGGTTTATTATTATTCGCCAGCTATGTTTTGAAAAAAGTATTAATATCGAACACAAGGTGTCCAGGTCTTTGAACAACCAATGATAATTTCAAGTAGTTGAGTTAAGATTCAATAGACTATATCTTTAATATTCATCTTTTTAGAAAGTCATTTACTATGATTGATTTATCTATGATTGATCAAGCTAACTTGATAACACTATAGGTTTGATATAATGGAAAAAAATTGGGTCTAATGATCAGGTTTTCATTGATTGGACAGTGAATGATTAACGGGCTGATCCCCTTCAATCGTTGATAACATTTAATAATTTTATTTTGTGTCGATATTTTGTCATTTTATGAAATGATAGTGCTTTTCTTCTCCCGACCGTAGCTGCTACGTAGCTACGTAGCTGCGGTCGCTAGGCTTTCCTGCTATGATGACCCAACCGAGTTATATTGGCTGGAACATATGTTCCTGAAGGTTCTACCATGCCAGGTAGGTCGATTGGAGATCGATGAGACTAAAAGCAGCTACTCAAGTTTTGGTGGGCGAAGTCGTACTGCTGAATGTAGAGAGGTGTGGCATTAGTAAGGTGTTTCCCTCGGATAACCAGCATCTGCGGTGATGCTGCCTTCTCACAACAGAAGAAAGAGGTTAGAAAAGGTCTATCCTAAAAATGTCACACCTCACCTCACCCCACAGGTTTCCGTCTCCGGCGGTAGGATCACTTTAGGAGCGGAAATGAATTTTTACAAACTTCCCATAAAAAGTCCATGCGTGACCGGCCTCAAGCAGTTGTCCCTTGGGGTCTGCAATCACGTTCCCAGGTTGTTCAGATCAACGCCAACCCGATTTCACTTTTAGGTTTCTAAAGAATTACCTTTCCACAGTGTGGGCAGCCGGGAATCGACAACCGTTCCAGTAACAGTAAACGAGACCGAATTGGTTACAATCAAAAGCTTCCTACACCTAATAACACTTTTATCTCCACGACCAACCCATCTTTCATCCCTTTGTTACCTCGCGCCTCTGATGAAGACATTTCGAGTTCACGAAACATTATTCCTGGTTTCGTGAAAGCCTGCTCTAAACTACATGTTAGAGCTTTTAATGTCCGCACCTTATGTCAAATAGGGCAACAGTTTTGAGACCTTGAATGACATTGCTCAAGACCGTTTGCAATGGCGCAGGTACATCCACTGTTCGGCTTCTTTCAAATCCTAATCATCTGGACTCCTCATCACCTTTATCTCTCTCTTTCTAAGTTTATTTCACTGGATTATACTCGAATCATATCTCTAAGTATGCTTAAACTATTACGAGTTCACCTTAGTCGAATAACGAGAAAAAAACAATGAACCAGCCTCCAGGTAGGCTAATGTGATCCCTTGACCAAATTGAATCAGTAAGAAGTCTTGATATAGTGTAGAAATTGTATTCTAAAAACACCCAGCCAGCACACAAATCGCGTTTATTTATATCCTATAGAGACGTCCATGAGACTCACAAAAATAGCACACTAAAATGACACAGTGACCAATCACAGCCAAGGATTTTCGTGGTGGGAAATGTGATCTCAAGGTCAACTGATCGACCCATGAAATAAATCCAAAATAAAGATATTTATCAAGCGAGTTCTGGGGATCTAACATCCCCGACAAACACATTGAAATTCCTCAAACTGACAAGGTTATAAATTAACAATTTAAACTGCTACAATAATATTTACTGAAAGGTACGATATTTGTATTATAATGTCTATAAACGAATGAAAACATAACTGAACTATATGTATGCACTGTTTAGACAATAAATAGACAGTTAAACGTAAAAAGACAATAAGGGAAAATACGCACTCATCATCCTCACATGTGTAATTCAAACTATATCTACATACAAACATGTAATCAGACACACTATAATAATCTTTTTCCATATATAACATTCAACTGCTTACTAACTTGTTTTTTTATTTTTTTTTGTTAAATTTTTCGTTTAAACACCCGCCCACTTAAAATAGTCTCAATCAGTTTATTCGCTTAAACAAATTAGAAAGACTTTTATTGATCCGTTGAATAGGTGAAATATGTTTTTTTCTTTTTTTTTTAACTCACCTTACATGATGCATTAAATGAAGAAGAAGAAGAAATTAATGATACAATTTTCAATAAATGAATTGAATATGAAATTTTACTTCATATTTCAATCATTTGCTTACGCTGTAATTGTATAGGACAGGATTGATCATCTTGATTTGATGAAACACAAGACTATTTATTCGTTTGTAGAATATATATATATGAATAAAACTTGTCATAACAGAGAATTCATGATAATATTAATAATAATAATAATAATAATCAGTATTATTGTTGTTTAAACGGAAAAAAAAGTAAAACCATATCATCCACATGTTAATCGTGCATAAACATAATAATGCAAATTTTTTAAATTTACCAATGCCACATCCTACATTTAAATCATCAGTGCATAAATCAAAAAGTTTCAATAATTCCACAAAAGATTCCAATGACTCATTTGAACAACAACTGGATCAACAATCATGGAATAGTATTGTTAAATCACAAACTAATTGTTCTACTGGAAAATATAAAATTCTACGTACAATAGGACAAGGAAATTTTGCTAAAGTGAAATTAGCAATTCATTTATTAACTGGACGTGAAGTAAGTATTCTTTGTATTGAAATATTATCGTTTTTCTTAGTGAGTAAATGATGACCTTGAATCTGTTCATCCTTTTGTACTTGTATACTGTTGTAGCTTACTTTGTAGACTACGGTTCACTTAGCTTTTTCATTATCTATGAATTTCAAAACAGTGGTTCCCTTTGATAAATTTGAATAGAGAAATGAGAAGACATATTTTGTGAGATAGTACCATTTTGTGCTTTTCTCGTCAGTCAAATACAAGCAATATGTTATTTATGTAAATACAGTTTTGAAGAAACCAGTGTACCTGCAGTTACCTTTCAAAGGTGATCATTGCATGAAAATTACAACCAAACAGACTGCAGCTGCAATAAAATAGACCTTCAATGCAGCTAATCTGAGACGTATCACAACAACTCAATCGATCTCAGTTACCCCCCCAATCAAGTTTCCAAGACCGATTCAGTCCAAATCCCACTGTATTTACCAATTCACATGTAACTGAGGAGAAAGTTACTTAGGGAGGACAGATAGCCGATTGGAAGACAGGATAGGGGAACATATTCCAAAATGGTTAATCAAATTCATGATTCATCAACCGAGCCCATCATCTCAAATACGATCAAGAAACCCAGCCTCGTCCATTGCAAAACATCTAATGATGAGTGATCATCAAATTGACCCAAAATCAGCCTTTAGAGTTGTGACATGTCATCAAAACCCACACACACTCAAACTACTCGAAGCTATTTTGATTGGTCGGAAAAGTCCAACTTTATGTGTTCAAAAACAACTGTATGTTGACCTTTGTTTACCAGTGAGTGAATGTCATTCTAAATAAGAAATTATGACCTTATCTTCAAAACTGTATTTACACAAATAACATGTTGCTTGTATGCGACTGACGAGAAAGCACGAAATGGTACTATCTCACAAAATATGTCTTCTCATTTCTCTATTCAAATTTATCTATGAATTATGAATTTCATTTTACAATATTAAACTAACAGGATTTGGATGAAAGCAAGGAGATTAGTCTACAAAACAACTAGCCGTTGAACTGTCTCATGTAAGGAGGTGTGAAATTATTGATTTAAGTTCATAAGACAAGAATAGGTTGTGGTTAGAAGCCCCTGTCTGATGGTTTGTAATTGTTAGTAGTAGCATGGATTTATTGATTAGTTTATTGACCCAGGAATCTTAAATTTTCGAATATCCTTTTATTCTGTTTACCCTTGGATTTAACTTTTTATTTTGATTATAATATTTAATATGATTTATATTTAACTAAGACTGATACAACTTGTTTGATTTTCATTTGTACACTGATATTAAATTTGATAACTGGGCTCAATGAATATTTTCATAGCGCAGAAGATATTTTTCAAACTTAGAGCCAGATTTTAACTTTATGTAGAATAGATACGAAGTGTTTGGCAGTTGAATCTAGGACTCGAGTTTAGTCCCATTTCTGACTCATCATCTTATGAGTCATCAGTTGAACGTACCTACACTATGGTGCTCGAACCCAGTACTGTTTGCTTCAAGTACTATCACGTTATCCACTTAGGTACTGAGTATAGACAGCCAATCACGTGTGCAACAGGTATAAAATTTAATTCAATTTGAAATGGTTTGAGTTATCCAGTTGTAGATATTTTTGACTGAAATTTAATCAGCCTTGGTTGGGATATGGGCATTTAATGCCGATGACCTCGATATAAAGCCATCATGACACAAGTGTATACATGGAATAGATAGAATGTGGCTAGTAGATCAAACTAATCAAAATTTCAGTCAAAACATCAACAACAAGATGATTTAAATCATTGAAAATTGAAACAAAATTTCACTGTTTCAAAAGATACGGTCTTTATGTTGAATGATTATAAATGACTTTCTTCAAATGAACTTATAGTTTCTTGTTTCAAAGATACTTCACATAAATATTTCTGATAATCATTCTTCCTACAATAAACGAAATTTGGCTGTCTTTAATTTACTGCTAATAAAATAAAACGCAAAATTTGCTCTCTTGTTTTATTTCTGTCTCCAAACTTACAGCCTATATGTCAGTAAGTGGTTTTGGTTTCGCCTGTTACTTCTAGTGGAGCACAGACTGCCGACTAGCATTCTCCAACCTACTCCGTCCTAAGACTTCTTTTCTAGTTCTGTCCAATAGTTGTTCATTCTTCTCACATCTGTTTCCATTTCTCAGTGTAATGTGTTTTTTGGCCTTCCTCTTTACGTTTAACCCTGAAGATTTCAGGTGAGGGATCGTCTTATGACACAGCTAGGTGGTTTCCCCAATATATGTCCTATCCACTCCCAGCGCTTCTTCCTGATTTCGTTCTCCACTGGAATCTGATTTATTCTCTCCCACAGTAGGTTTTTTACTGATAGTGTCTGGCAATAGTGTTGTCAATAAGCACTACCTTCTATTGATTATTCAACACAACCGCTGATATATATATATTTTTTCAAGATATTCACTAATTTAATTCTTAAAATCTATTATTAATTATCGATAAACTAATTTTATAGAATTAGCATACCAAGTAATTTGACAAGAAATAACTTTAACAAATACTCAATCGAATGTTACATATCCCTAAAATAAGACAAGTATCTATTTTATTAAATTATAATTTATATAACAATTGAAAAATACGATGTGAAAGCATTCTACAAATTGTCACATGTCACTCATTCATTTCTCTATATGCGCAGTTTACAATGTTACCATTATGCATTTTCAATAAGAAACTGATGAAAATATCTGCTGTATACGTTGCTTTCTTTGAATAAATTATTTGATATGAAATAAACAGTCATATTATATTAAAATGCCAACATTGGTAAAAATCTATTGAATATTGAATGTTAAATGATGGTGTCATTATTATTGATCGTTTTTAAATGAATACTTTGATTTGTTTCCATTTTTCTGAAGAAGAAGAACGGGATTTTTTAGAATTTATGTTTAGACAGTCCTGGGATTAAAGTTTTGATACATGTTCGAATATGTAAATGATCACCTATTTTCACTTACTTAATTCTTCTAAATATGTTCAATAGCTGAGTTCTATAAATCACTTAATCAAACTATTTTTGTATTCACTAGTAACTTGTTTCAAAATAAAGATTCATTAATCTAGCCGGAATTTGTGAGATCGGTAGTGTTCAACCATGTGAAGATTTAAAATGTGTATTACCAACGCTACTGGATCATTGTCTCATACAATAGCGAAAGTTCGTTCAAGTTGAAAATTCAAATCACAGAATGTCAACTAAGTAATGTAAAGTTAATATACTTGCTGAGGGAATCGACAGTCCTAAGTTTAGCTACTAGTGTAGTGAAGGAGAACACAGGTGGGGCAACCGAATTGTAATTATCGAAAATTACAGAGTTACTCAGTAAAATCGGAAAACCATATCGTAAATCGTTCATTTGCAAAATATCAGTTCATCATATCGAACTGGACTGTTCCTGTTACAAAACATCAATCCATTGTCACTATTCATGCGTTTCATACAAATTCCATTGTTTTCTAACTCTTCCTATCTTGATCTTCACCCATATTATGCTGCCAGACATTACGTTGACACTCACGTCATATACTACTTATAAATAGTTCGCACCACACTAGGAGTACCTATCTACTTCAATAAGGGTGGTATGCATAAAAATGTGCATTAAAACGGCCGATTGTGAAGATGATACGTAAGTGAAGGAGATTTTTATAGGGGTGAGCAATAAATGAACGCAAATTAAAAATAAGTGGCAGTTAGTTTCTAAATAATCTAATTGATCATTGAATATAATGACATCTAATAAAACAATGTAATTATTTGTGCTGAAAGTATGATTTGATATACATAAAACGAATTAGTATCTGTTTGAAAAGATTTCAAAATTACATGTAGTAGAAATATTAGATCAACAAGCTACACGTTCATTTATCTTTTTATATACCTCATTGAAATGAAATTAAAACCACATGAACAGTAGTTATAAGGAAGGATACTTTTTCGATATAAAAAGACTACATTTTTACAAAACGACGAAATATGATTGGTCTAAGCTATCGAGTTTTTTTGCAGTGTAAACTAGTTCTGAAATAATCTTTGGTTTAAAAAACGAATTAGTGAAAGGTAATTTTGTTAAAATTTTTACAATTATTATATTTTGGGGCAGAGTTTTGGAGGTTTGTGTTTTTACACATTTGAAATCATCAATCAATCATTGTTAGACAACCATTAGAAACTTGGAAGCACTGGACGGCCGTTTTGTCCTGGCATCGGACTCATCAGCATTGTGCATCCACGACTCCTGCTCCTCGCAGGATTCGGACCCGTGACCTTTATTCTTAGGCGCGAACGCCTAACCATCGGACCAATGGGCCGGCATCCAACGGTGTTAATGTCTAACTCTGACTGATCTAGGGATTTTGCGCGACCTCACCCATTTGTCTTTGGTAGTTACTGCCTACACTCGACAGGATGTCTGCCCCAAAATATCGTAACAGCGCTCACTAATGACTAGCTTCGTGAGGAAATTCTCGGAGTTCTAGTTGAGAAGACGTAACCAATGGAGTTCAACCCTGTCGGGTGTAGGCAGTAACTACCAAAGACAAATGGGTGAGGTCGCGCAAAATCCTTAGATCAGTCAGATTTAGACATTAACACTGTTGACTGGCGGCTAAGTGGTCTAGAGGTTAGGCGTTCGCGCACAATACTGAAGGTCTCGGGTTCGAATCCTGCGAGGAGCAGGAGTCGTGGATGCACATTGCTGATGAGTCCCATACCAGGACTTGACGGCCGTCCAGTGCTTCCAAGTTTCTAATGGTGGTCTAGTAACAATGATTGACTGATGATTTCAAATGTGTTAAAACAATTATTATAAACTTAATTATCTATTCAAATTTTTTTTATGTGCAAAGAACAAAGAAATAGTAATGTTTATTTATTATGAAGTAGGAGTATTGCGAAAGGACGAGCTAAAATCGATTCTTAACATGATCACATGATTTTGAAGTCACCTTTTTCTGAGCTAAATATTTCATA